GAGGAGCTGATAGATGAAGTACAGATTAGGGGAGCTCTGGATGCGAGTGATCACTCCATCCTTTGCTTTGCGATCAGGGGACTGGGGACGTGCAGCAGGTCGAGCACTAGAAGCTGGGACGTCAAGAGGGCTAAATTTGGCCAACTGAAGGCCAGACTGGGGAAAGTCTCCTGGGATAGGTTACTGAAAGGAAAGCGAGTTGAGGAGGGGTGGATGGCACACAAAAGTGAGGTTTTGGAGGCACAAGCTTTGACGATACCTCTGGTTAGTAAGGTGGGGAGGCGGAGGAGAGCGCTGCCATGGAAGCGAAAGGAGGTGGTTAGAGGGATTAGATGAAAGAGGAACCTCCGTAGGAAATGGGTACTGGGGCAAATAGACAAAAGGGTATACCGGGAGGAGGAGGCCCGTTGCAGAAGGATTCTTCGCAAGGCTAAGGCTGATTATGAGCTGAGACTTTTCAAGAATATCAAGAGCAACAAAAAGGGCTTCTTTCAGCATGTGAGTAGAAAGAGGAAGGGGAGAGAAGTGGTGGGACCACTAAATAAGGAGGAAGCAGATCCAGTGACTGATATGAGGGAACAAGCACAGATGCTAAATGACTATTTTGCCTCTGTGTTCTCCCCAAAGCAGGATAGGGGAGATCCGCATAGGAGATTAGATGAGGCTGGGGACATAGGGGCACAGATTAGAGTCACCCCCCCTTGAAGTTGAGGGACTCCTCAGGGCATTGTATATTAAAAAGGCACCAGGCCCTGACGGGTTACACCCGAGAGTACTTCGAGAGTTGACAGGGGTACTCTCATGCCCGCTGGTCTCCATTTTTGAGGCCTCATGGAGAACGGGTGAAGTCCAGAGGACTGGAGGGTGGCATCAGTGGTCCCAATTTTCAAAAAGGGCAGTAGAAGGGACATGGGGAATTACAGACCAGTTAGCCTTACGTCCATTGTAGGTAAAACAATGGAAAGGCTCATAATAGAGATCTAGTGATGCTAGATAGGGAAGGGAGGCTGACAGCCACACAACGCGGCTTTCGCAAAAAAAGGTCCTGCAAGACAAACCTTGTGGAATTCTACGCCCAGGTTTCTAGGTGGCTAGATGGAGGGGATGCAGTGGATGTGGTATACCTGGATTTCAGCAAGGCCTTTGACAAAGTGCCCCATGATATCCTGGTGGAGAAACTGAGGAGTTTTGGGATACTCCAAAGTACTGTCTGGTGGATTTGGGCATAGTTGACTGACTGAAAGCAGAAGGTAACCATTAGTGGGGAATCATCGGGATGGCGGCTAGTGACAAGCAGGGTCCCCCAGGGCTCTGTCCTGGGGCCGATCCTGTTTAATCTTTTCATCAGTGACATGGAAGAAGGGGTAAACAGTCTGCTGATCAAATTCTCTGATGACAGTAAAACTGGAGCAGTGGCCACAACTGAGGAGCAGGTACTCCAGATCCAAAAGGGTCTGGACAGACTATGGAAGTGGACAGGGGACAACAGGATGGCGTTCAATGTGGATAAGTGCAAGGTCTTGCACTTGGGGCATAGGAATAGGTGTCATAAGTACAGGATAGGTGACAAGTGGCTGGAGAGCAGCACTTGTGAAAGGGACCTCGGGGTACTGGTTGATTGCAGGCTAAACATGAGTCAACAGTGTGATGCGGTGGTTAAGAGGGTGAACGCCACCCTTGGTTGCATAGCCAGAAGTGTGGTTTCTAGATCAAGAGAGGTATTGCTACCACTCTATAGGACTCTGGTGTGCCCGCAACTGGAGAATTGTGCTCAGTTTTGGGCCCCTCATTACAGAAAGGATATTGCCAGGTTAGAGTCAGTGCAGCGTAGGTTGTCAGTGCTCAAGGTTGGTGGCTGGTTTGCAGGAGATGGGGTATGAGACGAGACTGAGGGAACTGGGTCTCTTCAGCCTGGAGAAAAGGACACTCAGAGGGGATATGTTGGTGACATACAGGTATGTGAGGGATGTCGCATGGAGATGGGTAGAGACCTGTTCTCCCCTGCAGAGGAAGGCAGGATGCGCTCCAATGGAGCAAAGCTCAGGGACCAAGGTTCCATTTGGATGCCAGGAAGCACTTCCTGACAGTCAGGACCCCGAGGGTGTGGAATGGGCTCCCACGAGAGGTCGTTGAGGCCCCATCGGTGAGGATGTTCAAGGATAGGCTAGACATGCACTTGATGGGCATGTCATGAGCGGAGCCGGCTGGTGCCCGAGGTCAGACTAGATGACCGGGAGGACCCTTCTGACTTGCTCTGTTTCTATGTTTCTATGTTTCTCTCTTTGCCAGGACAGAATCATTAATATGGTAACAATGCCCTCTCACCACAGGTTAAAACAGAAGCAAAAGGAAAGCGCCTCTACCACATCATTAAGTAGTAAGCTCTTTTGGCAGTGAGTATCAGTGGTGGCTTCTTCTGGTGGCTGCAGTATTATAGCTCAGCTAGATAAAGTTTACAAGTAGCCACTGACGTTCCTCTAGACTGATGGTGGGTCTGCATTTCCAAGGACATCTCCTCAGATTTCAAATGGAGGGGGAGAACTTGAAACATGACATGTGCTCAAAAAAATATGTAGCTAAAACCTAGCTTATGTAAGCTGTTTTGTGAAAGTAGCTGAGAAAGCAGAAATGAGGATCCTGTGGTCTCAGTACAATTTAGGAAGACTTGTGATTTGTATTTACTTACTCCATTTCTATATCACCCACTAGCCGAGGCTCTCTAGGCAATAACAAAACTTCAGAAGTGTGTGTGCATGTGTTCGTGTGCACATACACACACATTAAAAGGGGTGACATGCTCACATACACCTGTTGTTCCCATGTATCATTCATAAAAGTGAAGAGGAGCTAATGGAACAGTAACAGTTTATGACATCAAAGAAAGGGAACATTGGTTCAGATATCATGAAGCATTTATCTGTTGCTTCTACAACAGAAGCAGTGCAATAGTTTCCAATCCTATTACATTGATTTGACCTTTGAGGACAGCTTGTGGTTTGTAAAGGAGTCTGAGTTAAGTTCAATGATTCATGTTTAGTTACATGTGACTCCTGCCTTACCAGTTCGACTTCATTGTTTCCCTGCAAAAACAGAATTGTTTGACACTTCGTGACCACATTAAATAAGGGTACAAATATGATAGGCACTGATCATAGTATACTTTAGAGACATTTTTCTACTATTATGACTTTGAGAAATCATGTACAATTCAAATAATATTCAGGGATACTTTTACATTGTTTTAATTCAAGAGAACCATGTCATTACATTAATTATAGGAGACTAGTTTTTTTAAAAATATAACTTAGTGTTTTGTTTTTAGTCAAGTCTCTCTTAACCCTTTCACCTGTCTCCCATACATAACATGCTCTCTTTTCTTGCTGAACTACCAAACTTTTTGTAATTCTTATCCCTTGTTAACTGTTCATTCTTTTCTTTGCTAGTCCCATAACATACTCTCTTCTTTGGAACCACAGCACATCTGCAGCCCTCCTCAGAGAGCCTGCAGGAGTCATTTTGTGTGTGTTGAACATAATAAAGAAAATAGTTATAATTCTATGAGAGTAAAGGACCACTCACATAACCTTAAAGAGATTTCACTGAGATCCTAGGAATGGAGGAGTGCATTGAATGTAGAGCTATAGCAGAGTTCAGTGCCCATTTCATGGATATTGCTGAAGAAAGCCTGAGATTAGCAGGGCCTCTTAAACCACTATGGTTTGTACTGCTGCACAAGCCATAGATACTGGGGTGGGGAAAACTGCCTACCCCCACCCAGCCACAGTTTCTGTGCATACCCTTGGCCCTTGCCCTGACATGGCTACATTGCTCACTGGAATTCTTGGCATTTTGTTTAAAGTTTTAATATGAAATTGTGACATAATTGAACCTCTCCTCAGCTGTGAAGAAGTATTTTACAGGCTTGTGTATGAAAAAGAATAGATGTTAGTGGCTGTTTATTAACTAGGACTACAGGAGCTCTGTGTAGGAGTCTAAACCAGTTGCAGTCAGGTGAAAATATTCTTTATGTTGGGTAGCAATAGAGATAAGTTTGGTTAGGCAGGCTTATGATTTGGCACAGGCTAAGTAGAATCAGTTGAGGAGTTTGTTGTAGGGAGGGATTCTGTAGAGAGCAGGTGGGCTGTTGTTGCAATCTAGGTCCACCAATGAAAAAGTTGAAGGAATGACTAAGTAGCCACCACTAAGATTTCCAGGCAAGGTGCTACTGGAGAGTAATTTTTTTTTTTTTGGAATAAGAATGGTGTGAATTCAGGCCTTAAGGGAAGAACACTTACTGAGTGAGTGGTAGAGAAGACAAGCAGACCACAACCAGAATACTGTGAGGCTGAATGCCAGGAAACAAAAAACAACTGTGCCAGAAAGGGCTTGGAATTTGTAGAAGGTACTCTATAGAAGCATAGGATGATCATTTTCTTTATTCCTATGTAAGAAAAATGAAGCATCACTATCATTCTGCTTAGTCCAAGGGCAGTGGAGAGCTGCGAATTAGAGTTCAAGGGTGTAGCCCATACATACAGTAATTCTTGTCTGTGGCCTCCAGCTTTGTATACATATGCATGAGTTCTTATAAGGGGCAGTAGTAGTACCCCTAACATTGTACCAGCCCCAGATACCATAAACCTTTTGGTTGGCCTTGCAAGGCTAATTGGAGTGACATTCAGGGCACTATTTATCCTGATTGCCAGTTAACAGAATAGTAGAATTCGTGGAACAACTGGTTTTGTTGATTAGAATATAAAGAGCAGACATTTTTCCTAATTATCTGTTCGGCATTACTGGACAGATCTGGGCAGTTAAAAAAAAACTTGTGCCAGAATTGCTTAATTGCTGCTCTTCCCATAGTTTCACAAATGTGTGCAATGAAGTTTGGATTTTGGAACTAAATGATGTCTACAGAGATAACGGAGATTAATCTAGATCTTTGAAGAATAAATACAAAACTACAATTCTATATTTTTTGCTTTATTTATTGTGCCAAGTTTGGACCTACTTCTGGATTAGTACAACTTTCCCAGCAGTCCGCTACTCGAAGATTATCAGGACGGTTGAAGAGATTCAGCATTACTCGTTCACTTGACGATCTTGAGGTAATTATATAATACTAAGTTTTCCTATTTTTCTTTGAAGAGAACAGGCATTAATTAATAAGTTATTTTATGCTTTATTTGTATAACCTGTGGAAAGTAGCTATTTCCCAACTGAGTCCAGATATGAGTGTATTGGATGCATGTGTCCTAAACATTGTTATAATACAGGTGTCGCCAATGCAAGGCCCCTAGGAACCTCCAGTCACAACCACAATATGTGACCTCTAGTCACGGTCACTCCCTGCTCCCTTCAGACATTTTAAATAAAAGACTTAAATGGCAGGGTGCCATGTTCTGTTTCCCCTCTCTGAACTTGTGTCTGATCAGCTGGAAGAAGGGAAGGAATTGCTTCCTGACCCTGCCAAAATTTCTTCCACCCATGCAGACCTTTCCCTTTTGTGTTCTTTTTCACTCCCCAAAATCCCTTTATCTCATACTCTCTCTTCCCTCTGTATTTTGCGTTGCCCCATTCCCCTCATTACTTTTGCTTTGCTACTTGCGCCTTCCTTATTTTTCTCTCACCATTGCATTTCTTTGTTGGTTCTCCCCCTCCTTGCTCTGTTTTTCCCTATTGGGGAATGCAGTGGCTGAGCCTGGGGTTAAGGTAGGGGAAGCAATTTACTTTCTCTTTGAGGGAGGGAATTTTAATTTCCTTTGGTACTGGGAAGGTGCATGTGTAGTATGAAAAGAGCAATTATATCTAATCAGTTCCACTAAGTTCCATGTCAGCAGCATACATGGGATTGTGACTTTACGTGACATTTTGCTGGTCTTCTTTGGGATCTAGTATGTGGAACGGCTTTAGTATTCAGACTCTGCCTCTGCCTCTGTCTGTACTCAGTTTCTTGGAAACAAGTTTAAGTTTTCATTAGTCAGTCCTGCATGGCAGCCATTATGTGACTAGCCACATCCTCTCTGGGAGCTATTTTATGATGGAACATATAGTAGTTCCATTATTCCCAAATATTCCTATAAATCCAAAAAGGTTGGGGACTGCAGTTGCAATATAGTCAGCACTGTTTCATTTACTGAACATGCCTACTAGAACAACAACAAGAATCTACTACTGGAATTTTTGTTATAAAGTTAACCTCTGTGCTCAGTTTGAAGCCTTTTGACATTTCTGTAACAAGATCCTTGGTTACTGAAACCTAAATCCTGGCTTTATGAAAATGTATAGCACTAATACTTGCAACAATGTATGAGGATCACTATTTAGTTTTGACTCAAATATTGTCAAAAAACCACAATTCTTAAAATGTATCAAGCTTTTGAAAGGAGTAGTAGGCAATTTCTAGAGTGACATGTATGCACAGTTCTTATACAAAGTTTGATGGGTCTCAGAGACAGTTTTTTAGCTCTGCAAAGTGACTTTCAAAGTGACTAAACAAAAGTGTTCTCAACATTTCATAGCCTGATGGATTAAAATAAGTGGGTGTGGTACTGAAATTTATGAGAATCCAGTTCTACCAGGAAAAATAGTATTGCAGATCTATTCAAAGAAATGAAGAACAGGCATGAAGGATTGAGCAAATAGCACAACAGGCTTGTATATGATTGTAATCTTGAAGGGAACATGTCAATACATGTGGAGAAACAGAGAAAATTGCAACAAGCTGTATACAGTGCTATATGACTTTAGAGCTAGCCTGAGTTTCAAACTAAGGATTTAGGAAACTATTTGATGAGCTTTTTTATACATATTTCACATTGAAACTATGTACTATTAATATGCTATTTTTGTAGGTAGTTCATTGTTATGCAGAGATCGTCATTGCAACAATTTAAAGCCTTGAGTACAAGCTGCTTTTTCTTTTTATTGGGCGCAGACACAAAGTAGTGTTTAATCTGGGTGGGTCTTCACTGGAAAGAAAGGAAGAGCCACCTCAGCTTTGTTTTACTTGCTAGGATAAAGTGAAAATGTATTGGTCAGCATTTTGATAGAAAGCTTTATTTAAAATGAGAGAGAAGTCCCTTAGGGACTATTTATACATGGATACAACTTGCAACATCACTTACGTAAGTAAATTTCATTTTTCTAGAAGTGTGGAAAAGTGCTTTAAAGGGCAGCTTGCACTTCTAAAAACTTCTGTAAACCTCCCCCCCCCACTGTTTCTTAGAAAATTCAAAGTTTCTCCAATTGAAATTTGAATGATATTGTGAATTGGTAATATAATATTTTCATTTTATTGTGTCATTGGTAGTAAAAGAGTTTTCTAGTAAGTGAGTATGTTATGTCATGGCTTTTTTCATTGAAATATTAATTTGATAATTTAAAGAGATTTGTAGAAGCAGTACTTGATTAATATGTTTGTGTTTTATTTGTTTATATTTTCATTTGCTAATGGTTCATCTGCCTGCTGCATTTATGACTTAAACAGGATTGAAAGAAAGGAATGTTCTAAAAGACAGGGAAGAAGTTACAGCAAAATATTGATGATTTACATTTCAGAGTTATCAAAACCAGCTCATTCATAGATGTGTACATTTTTATATCTTTGTTAAAATATTGTGTGGCTATTTCCTAGTTTATTCTTGTTAGTAAAAAAAAAAAATCAAAACTCAATCACAAAAAGGGGAGGGTTACTCTCTGGCTGCAATCCTGCAAGTGATAGATGCTTAAACTAAATGGGTTTAGGATTTACTTCTGTGTAAACATGCATATTATGCATCAATAAAATATGTTTTCAAGAACATGCTGGGAACATGTTCTCTAAATTATGTCAGTTTGAAGCTTTTATATTCAGTGATATGTATCTTTTATTTCAAAAATAGATCTCCATGTTATCCCATAGTTTTAGAATGATTATTGCTAGGGCTGCAACTTGATTACTGAAATCTTAATAAATTAATCCTTAGTGTTTTAGATTTGGCACAGTCCTCTGGCCTAGAGATGCTGGCAATTGGAAAATTCAGAGCCCTAGTCCTCAGAAATGTGTTTCAATACCAAGATTATAATACCTAAAATCTAAAGCCTTTCCTATATCTTGCAGTTGTGAACCTGGTGGTGACAAGTAAATGAGTAATTAACTTCTTACTCTTCAAATGGTTATCCTCTCTCAAAAAGAGATTCAGTAATAGGGTTGGTGAGCTTGAAATATGTTGGTTTGCAATTATACCAATCCCTAGGGTATGCACCTGAAAAACTGAACTTTTTTTTACAGTCCCACCACATAGTATGTATCTGACTCCTGCCCAACACTGAGGAAATTGAATGAATCATAAGGTAGAATGGTCTTGGGGTCAGGTACCAGCCATTAGCATTTTCCAGGGTGTGCTAATTTTGTTTCCCACCAGGATTGTTGTGGGAAACTTGAATCAAATTTAAACTGCAGAAGATGTTTGTAAATTGCTGAAATTAATCCCCTTATATTTTTGTATTTCCAATTTTCCCCCAAACCACAAGAGACTTCTAATAGTGTTCTTCTTGACCTGTGGGGAACTTGAACATGAAGGAAGTTGGCAATATACAAGCCAAAGCAAAGTTACTTTCCCCATCTTTTAGAACAGGGATTCCCGACCTTGGATGCCTGCACCCCCCAGAAAGTGCAAGACAGCATTTCAGTGGGTGTGACAAAGGGGGAGTCTGCATTGTTTTTTGTCAAAATTGGCAAATTGTGACTTTTTTGCTAAAAATTATCTCAATAATAAATTGTTATTATTTTGCTTGCATTTGAATTCACTTCTCTTTTGTCAATCCAGATAAAATCTAGGAATTGCCTGAATCCACAGGCAGACATGTGGATTGCAAGCAGCAAGAAAGTTCCATGTTTTGACAAAATTGTGAATGAGAAGTAGGAACAAAGAAGTAATTAAATTTTATGTTCACAATTGGATTGATTTTTATGGTTTATTTTTTTCTAATTGCTGAATTTATATTTGATTTTTATTCAATGATTTAAAAGCTTTATTTGTAGTTTTTCAGTTTGTTCACCCATACTACCGTATGTGGTTCAATTTGTAGTTCAAATATTAGAAATTTGACTTCTTCATATTCAAATATGGTATTACTTTCATAGGTGGTGCAAACATAAAAATTTTCAAGGGGTATAGGACATAGAAAAGGTTGGAAAACACTGTTTTAGAATGTCCTCTTTAATTGACTTGCTCTCACTAAAAATTGTAAAATTATACAATTTTTTGTGTTTCTGTTGAGGCAAATTATAAGTTATTGCCCTGTTGTGAAAGTTAGGATGACTTCCCAGTGGGAGTAATGGAGATGTCCCTGGGAAGAGTCTCTCTGCCCATTTTATCCAACTTTGAAAAGTGATCAAAGTGAATTTATTATGAATCATACATCTAAGATGGACTTTTCCCCTAGAAATATATAATCCTCTAAAGATGTTCCATTTACTGCTATATTCTTCCATGGCTTTCCCTCATCTTCTGTTAATAATGAAATTATCTGCTGGAGTTAGCAGGCATCATACTATGCCTTCCAATTTGGTATTCTCCATCTTCTGTGTTGACCATGTAGATAAAATAGGGCTACTCTAATTCTTGTGTGCTTTCTAGCAAAAATAAAAGGATTCCCCCCCCCCCCCCGCCATTTATTTAGGTGTTTGGGGGATGCAAACAGGATGTGTTCAAAAAAGAAACATCAGGCAGAGCAGGACTATCATTTTGACTGCCATCAATCTATCCATTGGGGATAGCTTCAGCAATCTCTAGTGCCTGATGTCTCTATTAATATTTTTCTAAACCTTTCCCTAGTTAATTTCATAAACTTTATTTAGGTTCTTGTTATTAAAATGCCTAGGTATCAAAGCTCAGGGACTATAGAACTCTCCAAAAGAACAGAAAAATGGCATTGTATTTTCCATGCAACATTTAAAAACATGAATACTCAACATGTAAGCTAGTCATCTGAGTAAGAGTAGCCAGTATTTTTATTAGCTTTAGTTGCAACAAGTAATGGTTGTTCCATCAAGGCCAAGAGTTTGAAGTTGTGAGTTTATACTCACCCCATATTGATCCAGTGTACTACTTTTTTCTCGCTA